TAGAGGGAAGAAGATGGGACCCCCCCCCCCCCCCCCCCCCTCCACAGACCGTTACAGACAGTTGATTCCCCCATCACAGACCGTGACAGACAGGCTGTGTACTGATCACAGATTGTGACAGAGAAACTGTAGTTCTAATGCATCAGATAAATGGTTACCTCCAAATGTCTCTCAAACAAATGGAACAAAACGATTTTCATTTAACTAGTAACACTAGATCCATCATGTTTCACATTTTTAATCCCGCAAGGGATTGCGCTAACAGCTTTTTCACTTTGAATGTAATCATTGATAACTGAGTTAAAAGCCTTCAAGGACCTTATTTGAGAATAGTGTGGAGTGATTGTTATTTTCAAAATAACTATTTTTTAGAATTTTACGAAATGTGAATGTAATCCAATGTATCATATGCCAATAGAAAGAGCACAAAATCCTGAGTCGTAACAGATAGTTACATTGGAGTCATATGTCAAGATTTTGAGAAATACTAGAAAGAGTTATTTTTAAAATAACAATAGCTTCACTCTTATTTGCAAACTAACAAGCCATAATGCGCTAGAATATGAATACGCGACGATGCGTNTATGTCTACTTTCTTTCTTTACTCGGTTATCAGCGAGACAGCAACGTGATGGTATGACAACAGAACGGAACAAAAGAATAATCCCCCTTCACATGGAATCGAACCATGTATCTCCTGCTTTCCGGGCAGACGTATTAACCACTGTACTAGAAAGGGTATCTCTTCTTCGTCTTACGATTGTATGGGAACAATACGATCGTAACATCAGTCGATTCAGACTGTAGATTTTGGAAAAAAACAGAGAACTGAATGAATAAGAAGAAAAACCTCTTTTTATCAATTAACTTATAAAAAAACATCGTTCACTATGAAAAAATTAATTGTACAATAAAAAAATTTTAAACAACGATTGGTCATTTAGGACGTTTAACTGATGTTGTAACTACTATTGCACTAAGTAACATGACAAGTACTTGTATTATTACAAGTTGGTGTTCACAAATAGCTGTTTTTTCCATGTTGCTCAGTTTTCTTCATTCATTTTTTGTTGATATAACTACATTCAATCACAAAAATTCTTGAAATATATTTTTAACAACAAATAGTGGTAAATTTGATTCTGTTTTATATCGCATAAAAATTATCAAAGTATTAGGTTTAGCTTTCTTTAGTTTAAAAATTTCCGCATTATGTATTTGTGAAACATTGGCATTAGTATTAACAGCTACTATTTGTTTAACATGTCTTATTATTGCACTACCTGGACCTGAAATGTCAAGATATACACGAATATTTGATATATTTATTGGAAAAACATCTGATGATGATAAAGTTGAAACATTCATCAGTGATGGTAAACAATCACCACTTCTATCAAAAAATGATGACAGAAAAATTATTTGTGTTTTTTTCTGTTATTAGACTTTTTAATTTCAGATTCTTGTTCAGTTATGTATCGTAGTCTTATTTATCAACAACAAATAACCAGATTAAATCCTTCGATTTCATCTATATTATCAACAGTTGAATCTAAAGTTTATTCTTAACAAAACCTTAACGAAGACATATAGCTGCTAATGTTTTTAGATAAAAAATAACGACAGGTAAAAAAAAGTTAATTTCGTTGACCACAAGTGTAAATAACGATATTGTCTATTGGTTGACCACCAACATCACCGGTACCAGCATGACTACTATCAATAGTTGTGGCACCAGGTCGAGCATCACCAATACTGACAATATCTAATGGAGCATCAGCATGAGAATCATCATCTACAACATAAGCTTCAATAGCACGTCGAACACCAGTACCATCATGTTGAATACCTAAAACGAGAAAATGTTACATATAACAAAACAAAAATCAAAGTAGTTGAACATACCTCGTGCATTGATTGCTTGAATAATTTTCATTCCCGTTTCGATTTCGCCGAAGATAACCTAAATTAAAGAAGCAAGCTTGATGAATATTATAAATGATGTATATTTACCTGTGTCTTATTGTTATCGAAAATTGGCATTGGTCCTAAAAAATGAAGAATGATAATATGTCAATTATTAATATTACTCGAAAAAAAAAATTATTTACCTAAAGTAATTCCGAATCGCATTGTTTTGATATTCATACTGATAAGACCTTCGCAATTATGAGTTAAATCATTTTTTTCTTCCTTAATTGTATGACGAATACTAGAAATATAAAGGGAAATACTGAAACAAAAATAGTAAAAATATTTTACCGAGTGCCATCACGTGCAAACGCCATAACATCTCCCCCTGGAACAAAAAAAAATGAAATGTTCAGATTTATTCACATGGACAAAAATGTTTACCTTCAAGATATTTGTCGACAACCAAATAATCAAACTTTGAGTTTTGAAAATCATAACCACGTTTACATGAGATTATTGTTCGAAAATAAGCTATAAAATGCAAAAGCAACATTGACACAAAAAGAATAATCAAAAACTTACAACACGTTCGTGGTGCAACATTGTCGAACAACTAAAATGATATAGATATTTGCCAATGCTTCTTTGAACATGTTCATACCTTTATGACAATGTCGGAAGAAAATTTGTTGTTGATTTGTAGACCAAAAAAACATTTTCCAGGTAAACCTGAAATAGCAAGTGTTATACAAAAATTTTAATGTATCTCTTTTGATTATCGCAAATGAAAGAGCACGTAGAAAAAACCTATAGGTCGAAAATATTAGCTTTCTTTTATCTTTTGGACTAAATAAAACTATTATGCGCATATTTTTTGGATATTATTTTAGATACATCTTGTGCAGCTTTTCTCACTCTATCTTTATAGGTTTTTTACATGCTCTTTCATTTGCGATAATCAAAAAGGTAGGTCAAAAAATTTACTTGAAAAATATGAAGTAAGTTGTGTTTCTTTTTGTTCAAGTGTTTGTCGAATTTGTTGAACTTCAATTTTTTCTTGTTGCAATGCTTGTTGAATTTCTTCGTGTTCTTTTAACATATCATCTACGTATTCAGGAAAGCCTTCCATTTCTTCTTCGTTGACGATGATTGGTCCTGGTGCTGGAGCTGCAGGTGGTGAAATAGACGAGCTCATACTATCATAAAAAAATTATTAGAATAGAAAATATTTCCTATTAAAGTGAACCATTTTTCAGAAGAGTATGTGTCATCTTTTTATGGATATTTATAGATGCTTTTCGCCAGAGTCACTTAGGAAGCCTCGTCTCAATAGACCAATCATTTGGTTTAAAAATCAATTCTCATCGAAACGACGAGTTGACTACCAAGAGGCTCAGCGAAAAGTCTAAATAATATGTATGATTTTTAAAAGAAAATAGTCTTGAAAAAAAAGAACTATATCTTTTAAATCATAGCTGAATTGCATAGACAGACGCATATGAAAACGATGAACGTGTTGTTACATTTCCTCATAATTTCTTGACGAATCGCTAGGAAGTCACCAGGAACTTTAAGTGCTTATCTTCACTTGCTGAAAATAGAAACTCTCTACAAATATCTTATAGAACTACCAGTGAGTTCCAGGGAATTTCACGTTTTTAGAGACTCTTCCTGTGCCGCGTTTCAATGATTTCTGTTTTCTATTTTTCCGTTCACATTATCATCAGAATAGATAATATGAACTTTTGTTACGTACGTGCAAAAAAAGAAACGAAAAAAACCTCTTGATGATTCAGATAAATTATGCATTTGGAATTAAAAATGTCATATAAAAAAATTACTCACGCAAGGAATGCCGTGTGATATACACATCGTGACTGATGCAGATCGTTAGAAAAGAAAAATGAACAGCAACAGGGCAGTTTAGCTTTTCTCTCTTTCTATTCTTTTTCTTTGGTAGAAGAGAAAGCTCATGCCCATAACATAATGAGAAGAACATTTTTTTCTCTTTCACGTTCTCTCTCGCTCTCTCTTGCTGCGTTATTTCTTTGCTACGCATAAGGTCAACCATGTCGATGCATTGAAAATTCTCTGTATACTAATGCTTTAATGCGTCCTCTCACATAGTTCATCGCGACCATTCGCTGTCGGTCAAATATATATTCTCTTATATTTATATTTCTTCAAATTTCACCAACTATTCAATGTCTCTATGTGTCGACGTTAAAAATCATTGAGATTGAAAAATAAATAGTAAAACATATGGCTGCAATAGTAGAAACTACAAAAGTGAGTTCATTACTTACAACATCAGCTTCGGTGTGTGTTGATGATATCATATCCATTGTTTGACCACTTATATCACCTGAACTAGTAGTAGTTGTAGTCGATTCTGACGGACAATTATCAACATAAGTCGCAAGTTGTCGTTTAATATTACCGATTTCTTTTGCTTTACGCTAAATAGCTGACATAGGAAAGATACAAACAGACAAATGGTTACAAACTTCAGAAGACTTAGCCAGAGATTAACTTATAATAAGAAACAGCAATAATGATAAATCTAAAAAGAATACCCATAAAATAAACGGTAGTCTCAATCTACTATTTATATTTTGACTTTTTTTTTATTGTCCACATCTGAATTTCTCTTTAAAATATTCAAGATAGAATTCCGTACGAGATACTGATATCACCATCTATCTTGAAGCATTCACTATACATAAATCCTTTGTTTCTTTTAAATTCTTCATTCTTAAAAATGATAGTTAGTTTAAACAAACTAATCAAAAATTCACACAAACATAGCTAACAGTTCACTTAATGGTGACATCTACCTTGTAATCATCCCATAAAGAATTATATGTACAAATGAGTCAATGGAAATAGAACTCAATGACAAAATCTCGACAAACAACATAGCTATTGTTTGGTTAAATTCAAATTTAGATTAATCGATTCATCTTCTGTCTATTACGCGTTTCTGATTCGTTTATGAATATATATCAATGGCTACTATTGAAGCTAAAAATATTTTTTTCGAATATTAGATTCTTTTTAATGAAAAGAATTCATTTCTTATAGGTCCACTTATTGCAAATACTAATCGTGAATGTAAAGTTGTAATAATGTTAAAAACTGGTACTGAAACGATCGTTGTTAATGATGATATGACAAGTGGTCCTGTACTTAAATTTATAACAGTTCGGCAAGCATATGATGCTTATCAATAGTTTGAAAAAAATTTTCATGAAATAAAACGGCTCAGTCTCATTTCAGGTACTTTTTCGTTTAAGTTATTTTATAAAAACTAAACAAATATTTCTAAGTATATTTATTTTTTCAATTCAATAATTTTTTTTCATCGATTATTGTTTACAAATAAGTATATATGATTATTTTCGTGTAAAATTCACGATTATTAAATTAAATCTTTGCAACTATGAGAAATTTTAATTACTGTTGATCTATGTCCATAGTTTTTTTTCTAAAATTGTTAAGTATGTAATGATTAAATTTTCATTTTTGATTTTAGAGCTCTAAGGTTTATTTTGTATTTCTAGAGTTAGGATGCTCTTAGAAAAAAGTCTTTTATTATTTATGGAAAAACTGACACGAAAACAATTATTTTCTACGTCTTTTTTTTTTTGAATATAAGTATTTTAATGAATTATTGTTAATTTAAAATAAGATTCATGAATATCTTCTTCTATGATTATAAACATCGACAAAACTTTGTTTTAAGATAATTTCTCAGTTCATGATTGTACAAATAAAGATCAATAATGTCACATAAAAAAGCTAATTGACACCAAATTGTAAAACATTTAGACAACATTAGATTAGCTAAAACTTGACTTTGAATAGCAAATAGTGCATATAATGGAGTCCATCCTCCAATAAGTATTAAAAACATATTAATCATATTTCGAAGTAGATGAATATCACGTCGACTCATTCTTTCCTGTTGAATATTTCTAGAAGTGTTTTTCGTCACCGATAATGAACTTGGTTGAATACGATGAGATGATGAACGAACAGTAACATATATGAAAATATTAAGAATAAGAAAAACAATTGGTGGAACTATGACAATAAATATCAACTTATATATTTCTATCCATTGTGAAGTAACACAATACTATAAAAAAAAGAATAAAGTAGAAAACAGATGAATATACGATAAAAGAAAAAGATATACCTACCGGTTGCACGCCTAATAAAACTGGTAATGTCATAAGAAGTCCAAATATCCATTGACATACAATACAAATGAAAACCCATTGTTTTGTTTTAAATAAATTCTTATTATAATATACTACAGAACAAAAACGATAAATTGACGCTGTAATAAAACTAAAAGGAACTTGAAGAGTTATACATGTTGAGGAAATCATTACGAATGCACATGACTTTAACATAAATTTGTAAATAAGCAAAGCATTCAATTGTAATATTGCATAAAAGATAGTCCAATAGGGAGAACAGAATATAGTAACGCTAGGTTTAGATCAGGATCCGTTCAAGATTTTTAAATCTTTAGATCACAACAGAATTTCAATACCAATGTTGAGCATAATCTTAACAAAAATAAATAGAAGGATTTTTCAGATGTTGTTGAGTTTTTATTTGGAACACGACAAAATTCTGATAGCTGAATAATCTACTAGCATTTCTATTCTGATCCTGATTTGGTACTTTTAATAAAGAAATAGAACGAATCTTAAAAATCTGAAAAAAATATTTTCTAAACCTTTTTTTAAGTTTATACAAAAGTTGCTTTTAGATTCGAACTACAATATTGAGTTCTTTTTTATCTTAGCAGGAAAATAAAATTGAAAATCATTAAATTAGGATGTTAATTTGAATTTAGTCATCGTAAAATTTTTTCTTTAAATATATAATTTTAATCAGTAGCAAATCTTTTGATAAAAACTACTAATAATTTTCCTTATGTTCGAAAAAGATTCCAAATATTTTTTTTTTGAAGCAAATTGAAATAAATAAATTCTAAATATATTTTTTCAATCGAATCAAAATTTTAAAAAATCCAAATATATTTTTTAAATCAAATTGAAATAAAAAAATTCGAAATGTATTTTTTAAATCGAATTTAAATTCTCAAAAATGATATAATTTCATCGACTAAAATGAACATGTAAAATAAGATTCCATTTTCAGAATTTTGTTGAAATAATTTCTATGTGCATAAAATTCAAATAAAAATTTAGATTAAAGTCAGAAATGAAGATATTGAACGTTGAAGTGATATAGAATGACATGGCACATCCAGCTGGGTAAGCTGATCGGTATGTAAACTGAAGGCCTAGAGATCAATACTCTATGTGTTCATTTCACTTATATTCTATTTAGAAAATCCTGCAAAGATCCTGCCAAGAACCTGGCAACATCCTGAAGGAAATCTAGCTTAATCCTACAAAGATCCTGTCAAGAAATTCGATAATATCTTCGAGGAAACCTAGTCAAATCCTGAAAGATGTGATCAGAAATATTTTTTTTTGCAATTTTGAATTATTGAAATCCTGAAAGGATCCTACAATTTCGCAGCTACACATTTCTTTCAGGAATCATTGATTTCCTGGCTGAATCTTGATTTGAAAATCAATGTCAAACTTGTCAGGATCCTTAGAAATCTTGATTGGAATCCTGTTCGGATCCTGCAATTCCCTGGCTACACACTTCTTTCAGGATTTATTGATTTCCTAGTCTAATCTTGGTTCAAAAATAATGGTAAACCTATCAAGATCCTTGATAACCTTGTTGTGAATCCTGACAAGATCTTGGAATCCCCTGGCTACACACTTCTTTCAGGATTTGCCGTTTCCTCAGGAAAAAACGTTCAATCCTTGCAGGATCCTTGTCAGGTCTGCAAAGGATCTGGCTCTGAAATATCAAAGATTTTCCCTAGGGTAGCTATTTACGAAAAAACTATCAAGGTGATCATTTGAATAGAGCAAAGGCAATGATGAATAATGGCGTTATTCTTCAAAGAAAGATTACGATAAAGCATTAGAATATTTAACAAAATCTCTCGAAATACATACACGTATCTTACCTGAATGTCATCATTCTATATCTCGATGTTTATGCAATATTGGTGCTGTATATGAAGATCAAGCACTTGAATATAATCGTAAAACGCATGAAATGAATGAAAAAATATTACAGAGTGATCATATTCATCTAACGAAAGATCTCGCTGGAATTGTGTGAATATGAAAAAGCTATAGATTTTTGTCAAAAGAAGTTAGATGAACAACAAAATAATCCATCAGAAAATCATCCACGAATTGGATATACACTGTAAACTATCGGTAATATTTACAATGAAAATAATAGTCACCATGCATTTGAATATTATCAAAAAGCATTAAAAATATTTGAAAATTGCATATCACTTAATGAAAAAGTGATGATTGATTGCTTAGAACATATTAGCAATTTGTGCTATAGCCAAGGTCTTTATGATGATGTACTCATTTATCGAAAACAATTGTTTGTTATACAAGAAAAACTTCTTTCATCGCAACATTCTGCCATTGCGAACTCATGACAATGGTTTGGTAAACTTTATTATGATACGAAGAACTATATACAAGCATTAGATTATTTCAAAAAAGCACTTCCTATTTATCTAGAAAATTATACTACCGAAAAGGAAAAAATTAAAGAAATAAAACAGTATATTGATGATATTAAGACTAAATTAAATAAAATAATCGAAGCTTGTACATTACTTTTCCCACTAAAAAAATAAGTTATTTAAATTAAATCAGTTGAAAAATAATGTCAGAAAGTTTGATCTTATCGTGTTTGTTTTGAGTTATTAGCTTTTCATTTTGGAAAATCCTTGAGAAAATGGTTCTGCTTTGAATGACCGTAATTGTTTTGTTTTTTTATTCCATTTTTTGATAAATATTATACCATTTTATCTTCGCACAAACAGAGTGTAGGTGTAGATGCTGGTGTGGTTTAAGAGCAGACTCACTTCCATACCCACACCCATACACAATCGACCTCATTCAGTCAAATGCAACACTTAATTTTTTAAGTGAAAAAGAAAAAGATAACTGCTGTGAAAATCATTTTTATTTTTATTAATTTTTCATCAGAAAAATATTTACATTCAAGCTTTCGTGGCCCATCTGGCCACATCATCAGGAACAAAATGAAAGATTAACTTTTTGTTGTTTGATCTCAAGGAATAATTGCTCAGGTTAATGTAGAGAGTGTCGACCGTGGTCTTAGGGTGTAACATCTCTCACAGCATTAACAGGAGTATGTCTTATTTTTTGATTAAACAGGAAGACATGAAACCAACAAACAAGAGCAAACAATAATATATGACGAGTAAATCTACATTATTAGTGTACAACAATTTGAGAAAAGAAAACGAAGTATATGTTGAAGCATTTGAGTTGAACTACGATTAATCATCTTTTGATAGCCATCCAACATAGATAGAAGGTAAAATACCAATTAAGTAGAATACTATAACAAAATCTTTTTTAAACCAGGTTAAGTGTAAGGGTCCTAAGCCATCGGATTAAATGGAGTAACATGAACTCCAGTATTCGATAAAGACATGATTTAAATATATATAAAGTAACATTTAAATTCTTAATATGAGATCAACATACGCTTTCTTAACGTATACTAAATTAATGATATATTTAAGCTGAATCATATGAGTCAGACAACAGTATCCAATGTAATAACATTTTATTTCTAATATGAGATAAAGATATTATTTATTCATATATACTAAAATCAATGATTTGCTTGAGTTGGGTCATGTGAGTCGCATAATAGTGTCAAACATAACAACATTTGAATTTTTAAGATTTTTATTTTTATTAATATAAGAGAGAGACATTATCCATTGGTATATAATAATAAAATCAATAATATATTTAAACTGAATCTTATGAGTTGAGTAATAGTATCAACTATCATTCAAATTCAATATAAGATGGAGACAGTATTTATTAATCTATAGTAAAATCAATGATATGTCCAAGCTGATTCATGAGCATCGAATAATAATATCAAATATGATAACATTTTGAATTTCGATATAAGATAGAGAATTTGTTAATATATAATAAACTAAAAGATCTGTCTAAGCAGAGTCCTAAGTATCGAATGATAGTATCTAATATGATCACATTTTTAACTTTGATAAAAGATACAGATATTTTTATTTATTAATATATAATAAAATCAGTATGTTTAAGCTAAGTCATGAGAATCAAATAATAGTATCGAATATGATAACAGTTAAATTCTACTATGAGATAGAGCCATTAATTCTTAATATATAATCAATCAGTGATATGTTTGAGCTGAGTTATGAGAATCGAATAATATCGAATAAGATGACATTTTGAATCTCACTATAAGATAGATACATTATTTATTAATATCTGATAAAATCAATGATATGATTAAGCTAAGTCGTAACAATCGAATAATAATATTAAATAAGTTAACATTTTGAATTTTAATATAAGACAAGCTGAGTCATAAGAATCAAATAATGATATCAAATAGAATAACATTCAAATTCTAAGATAAGATAGAGATGTTATTTATTAATCTGCAATAAAATCAATGATATGTTTAAGCTAAGTCGTAACAATCGAATAATAATATTAAATAAGTTAACATTTTGAATTTTAATATAAGACAGACATTATTTCTTAATAAATAATAAAATCGATGATATGTCTAAGATTATTTATTCATCTATAATAATATCAATAATATGTTTGAGCTGAGTCATGATAATCGAATAATGATATCAAATAAGATAACCTTTTTGAATTTGAATATAAGACAGAGACATTATTTATTAATATATAATAAAATCAATATTATGTTATAGTTGAGTCATATGAGCCGGACATTAGTAACAAATGTAATTACCCTGTTTTTTTTTTTTTTTTTTTTTTTTATAAGATACAGAGATTATTTATTGATATATACTAAATTCAATATGTTTGAGCTGAGTCATAAGAATCAAATAGTGATATCAAATAGAATAACATTTAAATTCTAATATGAGATAGAGGTATTATTTATTAATATATAATACAACCCATGATATGTCCAATCTGAGTCATAAGATTCGAATGGTAGTATCAAATATGATAACATTCTGAATTTCAATATAAGATGGAGAGATTATTTACTAATATAAAATCAAATCAATATGTTTACGCTGAGTCACTATTTAATATATAATAATTATCAATAATATGTTTAAGCTGAGTCATAAGAATCGAATAATAATATCAATAAGATAAGCTTTTTTGAATTTCAATATGAGATAGATGCATTATTCATTAATGTATAGTAGAATCAATGACATGTC